GAGGTAGGTGCTAGTTAAGGGACCTGCCCAGGGTCACAGTCTGTGAGTGCCAGAGCATGAGTTGAACTCAGGTGTGTCTGACTTCATAAACACTACGCTTTATTGCTTCATATGCTTGGTAAGTAAGCACATACCTGTTATATTTGTCATACTTTTCCTTGGAAAAACTCAAGCCCATGGACCAAACAATAGTCCTCAAAAATGCCATGAGACTTTTCATCACACCCGTTCTTCCACCTGTATTTCCTTCTGTCTTACTGCCAGCCATCCATTGTGCACACCTTCTTAGCCCAGTTTAACATTTCTCATGAGGTAAGCTTTTTCTGCTAGCTAACTGTTGCATTTTTTTAATTGTATTTTTTTTAAACTAAGGCATAAAAGATCTAAAACTGCAAAGACTGCCCTATTTGGAGAGTCCTTCAGTCCACCTGCAAAATGGAGATACTAGGAATCTATTTACATCATAGGATTATTATATAGGATCATTCCCAAATGTGCAGTATAGAAAGTGCTTATTAAATTTTTAGCTCAACAGCTAATAATAGTAGTAATTATTATTATCATTAAATTAATATCTCTGCTTCAGGAAAAGAAATGAGTACAGAATATCACTTCTCCAATCATTCTTCTATATACTATTTGGAAAGTTATTCAGAGATTAAGAGGGGTAGAATGGTATAGTGGAAATAATATTTGGCATGAGATTGCCTCTATTCCAAACTTGGTTCTAATAGGTACTACTATTAAGCCTCTCTGGGCCTAATCTTTGAAATGGGTATAATAGTTATTATATTTTACCTAATTATTGTCAAGATGTTTTGTGAAAACACGGTCAAGTGTCTTCTGTGGCCTGATATGCAATGGGCATTCGGGAATACCAATCTCCCTTCATGAACATTGGCTTGCATGTGACATCTACGTGACAAGGTGGCATCAGCTGCCCTCCCCATGCATAGGCGCAGAAGAGACCTGGCAGGTGTGAGAGAATCCAGTGGGGTCTGAGCCACACTTTGACTGAGGGGTACCATGAGCTCACTCACTGCAGACACCACCTCATCTTGTGCTGGGTTCCAGTCACAGTTTCCTCAAATGAAAGTGTTTTTCACTGTGAGGACTGATAAGTCAGATATATAAGATTCCAAGTTTCAGGTAACTTGAAATTTGCAAGTGACTGGAACCAGGCTTTTAGCAAGTTTGCATAATCTAATATGGGCTCAGATTATTACAATACTTTGGGAAGAACAGGAGAAGGGTTTCATAGTAGAATCTCCTGGCATTCTGACTTATTTGGGAGGAAGCTCCAGATGTCCCTAAAACTTTGGAGGAGCTTGACACACCTGAAGATAAAGCTCAGAATAGAGCCCTTTCATCATAAGGGTCTCCCCTAAACCAGAAAGAGATCTCGCTAGAATACTGAAGGATCTTACTCAAATCCAGTTTATACTCATCTACAGTTAGAACAACTGGGAAGTCACCAGGTCTCACTCTGTGTGAGTAAGTAAGTTAGCAACCATGGGGGAGGTGTGCAGGTGGTCCTCCTTAGTCCAGGACCGTGGTGAGTGGCCCCATTAGAGTCCACAAAAGGCCACACCGAGGCTCTGGGGCCGGCCAGGTGGCAGAGAGAGGGACCAGCTTAAGGCCCATGAGTGAACCTCCCACTCTACCCTCCACAGGAAGAAGATAGCTGTGGAGGCCTGCCTTCACTCCTCTGCCCTTTCCCTGGGAAGCAGAAAGTGCCCAGGCCTGGGGCAGGAGGAGGCTGTTCGAAGTTCCCGTGCCCTCTCCAGGTTGTGTCTGCAACCTGATTCTCCATACTCTCTCCACTTTCATCTCACGGGCCAATTCTCCCCTCTCTCTTTGAAATGAAAAGTACTTTTCTCAGTGCATAAGCAGTATATTAATGTTCTATGAACTCCAAATAATAACAAAACATAAAGAATAGAAATCTGCCATGATTTGATCCTCCTTTCTCCCCAAGAGAACCTAAAGTTAACAATTTAAAGGTATTTCCAGAACCTTTCTTCTCCATACTTGTATGTACTATACATATGTCATTAATTGAACACAAAAATAAATACACATATTCTATTATAAAAATGTCATTTTATGATATACACCATTCTCGATATGCTTTGTTTAATATAGCAGGTGTTCAATGAGATTTATTGTATAGATGAGCCATAATTAATTTATTCAATCCCTACTGCAGAACTTTCACATTTGTGTCCAAACACCCTTCCAATAAGCATAATTATACATAAAAGATATAATTGAAATACAAACATGTAACAAAGATAAGAACAAGCATACTGCATATAGAAACATACTAACAAGCCACTCCTGCTGTGGAGAAGTGTTTCCGGTGCCCTCTTTCATATTTCATGGATATCCCTGCAATATAGTTGATAAAATAACCTCAGAAAGAAAACTTTCAGCCAAGCATTTCAGGACCTTTGGAAATAAAGGATGGATATCCTGCATTTGTTCCTAATGTTCTTATGTTGGCTTTAAGTCCTTGGCAGGGCAGCTTGACTAAGAAAAGAACCAGAACCAGAATCCAATAGTGGTAACAAAAGGCAACAATTGTGGATAGAAAAATAATCTGCATCAAATTCATCTTAGAACAGGAAGGACTAAGTGAACAGAGGAAGAAAGGAAAGACAAGAGAGAAGAAAACTGCTTCCTCCTGACGGTGATTTGGACTATTGTTGCCTGATTCTATAGTGCAGTAATTGTCAGTCTCTTAAAGGACATACTATTAGGACAGATTTCCCTTCCTTGTTCCTGGGGCTAAGCATGTAACCGTTTCCTTCCTGCCACATTCCTGGAAGAGTGTGAGGAGGCGGGGAACACCCCAGGCCGGGGAGAATGGGACTGTGCCCGCCCCGTGGCACTGCCGTGCCTGCTGCCCCAAGCCGTGCCCGCAGCGTGGGGAGGCCGCGGTGGCTGGAGCCGCTGCAGACAGAGCGCGGGGCCCACGACAGCCCACGGCGCAGCTCGGCCTCCCCGGGGCTTGAAGACAGTCACGCCAGTCCCCAGACGAAGACACTAACCGTCATGCGGGCTCCACCGGGGAAAAGAAACCCAGGTCTGTGGTCCCCGCGGTGCTAGCGGAAATGGAAAGGGCATTTGTGGCTTTCCCTCCTTTCCCAAAAAAGTGCTCAAATGCAGTCCTACTGCTCTGTGAACACTAACTGGGGCCTGAGGGCCTGGGGAGAACAATTAAGCCAGACACTGAGCGCACAAAGCCAAAAAGGGGTAAAAACCCAGACAATGGGGCTGAAGGCCGGCTGGGTGGAGGGGGGAGCGGATGTAATGATAGCAAGGAAGGAGTTTCAATGTGAACGAATACTAATTAGTGACATGGATATTAATGATGACAGTAATTAACAGGGGAAAGGAAGGGCTGTCATTGTCCCAGGGTGAGTAATCAATCTTGGCAGGTGATAAATAATGGTTCAGCAAGCTCAGCAGAAAGATAATCCGCCTGCCCCGGGGAGAGCTGTTGCTGATGCGGGAAACCTCTCCGTTTCCAGGCAACCCACAAAAGAGAACTATTTTTCTTTTGAGGGGAAAACAGGTTAGAGTCTCTCCCCCACCCCCAGCTTGGGATTACAGTCCTTATTTGATTTCTGCTTTGTTCTTCCTTTCCTAGGACAAATGTTGAACTTGTATAATTTGGAGGAAATGGACACACACACACACCAGCACACACAGACATACAGTCCTTTCTCTCAAAGAATGTGAATGAATAGGAGGGTTTTGATCCAAAGTTTAGTTCAGAGATGCCATCCAGGAGCAAGAGTGGGGAGAAGCTTAGAAGTCTTTCTTTTGAGGTTGAAATGTTGGGAACACGTGGGGCCCTGTCAGCAGAGCACAGAAAGAGTAGGATGCGGCCCTGACAGTTTGCCGTGCGGGGTTCACACGCCTTCCAGAAAGCCGGAGAGGAACAAAATGTCCGGGCACTCGGAACTGTCCTGGTCTCACTTCTGGTGACCAGTCACATTTCTGAGAAACTTAGTTCCTGGAACAAGGCAATACCCATTAAACCCCTCTGCTGGCTCTCCTGGCTTTCGGGGGGAATCCATCCTGGGAGGGCTCTTAGCAGACCCTCTCCACACACCAAGCCTCAGACCCATGGCAGGACTCAGACATCTGGAAATGATGCCCTTTTCAGGCTATTTTCCATCAAACATTCCATCCTGAGCTGACAGAGCCCCCTTCAAAGAACACTGGTTTTAAGAGAGATCTCTGAGTAACAAAGGTGAATTAACCAGAAGTTCAGAACCTTCCAGAAAATTGGACTGCTCTGCTCCCGTGTCAACTGTGCTGCCCTAAGAACTCTGGTTCTAGGTGCCACATTTTCAAAGGGAGGCAAACAGAAAGAACATATTCAAAGAATTATGACCAAAACAGTGAGGGACGCAGGCATGTTTCACCTGGAGAGGAAATCTCAGGGACACTGATAGTGCGTTGATGGACTGCTTCTAGAGTAAGAGGTCTGGGTTTGTTTTTCTGTCTTCAGAGGGCAAAACTAAGGCCAAAGAGAGGCATATAGAGGGGGATGAAGTTCTGTTCAGAGAAATCAAAGATGAGTTAACTGGAACAGGCTGACTGGGGGAATTTGTGAATTCCTAAGTACTAAAGTTTTTCTAAATGGAGATCAGAGTACCTCTTGGGTATAGTGGATAGGGCTCCTGTGTTGGCTAAGATAGAAGTAGATAAGCTGTAAAAGTTCCTTCTGATTCTATAGCATCTTACTATGCTGATGGACAGTGACTGTAATGGGGTATGTGGTGGGGACTTGATAATGGGGTGAATCTAGCAACCACAATGTTGCTCATGGACTTGTATATGAATGATACCAAAATGAAAATAATAAATTAATTAGTTAATTTAAAAAAAAGTCCCTTCTGACTCCTAAGATTTTATCTCAGTTAAGGTCATACTAAATGCCGAAACAGATAAATCCCAAATTTCTGAAGCTGTAACACAATAAACTTTATTTTTCAGTCAGGTCAGAACCAAAATGGGCATCAACTTTCATGGTTGTTCAGGATCCCAGGCTCCTTCCAAGTTGGGCTCCTCCTCCCCTGGGTTCTTAGAGTCCTGTCATTTCAAGCAGCAAATGGGGAACGAAAGGGTATAGAGGTGTGGAGGGTCACAAGGGAGTTTTATGGTCTGGGTTTGGGAGTGACATATGTCATTTCCACTCACATTCCATTGTCAGAACTCAGTCCACACCCAACTGCAGAAGAGCCTGGAAATGTTATCTCACTCTAGCCCAGGGCATAGGGAAAGCCATTTTGGTGAGCCCATGGAAGTTTCTGCCAAAGAAACGGACATTTTTATTTAAGATGCATCCATGTCAGAAACAAGTAGAAAATTTTTCTCAGGCACCTGTGAGCTCACCTGTATTGCTCAGACCTTGTCAGTTAGGGTGGGGAGCTGGAGAGGCATCTTCCCTCAGGTGTCCTGCGGACAGGTATGCCAGAACTTCACCGAGCCCTGCCTTGAGGAAGTAAGTCATCGAAATCTGTACACTCAGGAAGTCCCCTACAGATGCTCCCTAAAAATGTGGACCGGAAATCAACGTGAGTCACCAGAAGTGAACACTTTGGAAAAGAATGGGATTGTAGCTATAGAAGCATACTGCTGGATGAAAAGGTTTGGCTAGGATAGAAAATCGGCAGTATTAGCCAACTCTCCCAGTGTGTGCTAATTGGAATTAAGAGATTCTTAAATAAAACATGTTTCTTCTGCTACAGGGTTGAACTCCATGAAGTTTTCAGTTCCAATTGTTTTATCATTTCAGGTACTGACATTGTGCAGTGGCTTATGAAGAACCTTTCCATCGAGGACCCAGGTATGTGATCCTTAGCCCTGACTTTATCCCCCATGGTATCGTAAACATCCCATAACCAAGTCCCAAACTAGATCCTCCTACCCACCTGAGAACTGAGCTTGTAAATGTGAATTCCAAGATGTGGAATCACTTTATTTATAAATAAAATTAATTTATTTTCTCTGTGGAATATCTACCTAAAATTTAAATCTCCCTTTGAGGAAACGAGCAACTATTTAGAATGCCAAAGAGCCCAATACAATAACGTGTGAAATGAGATGAATTCTCGTTAGCCGCAGCAATTAAAGATAAGTTGTAGTGCTGTCACTGAACAGCCTTCTAGAGCCAGCTCTTAAAATTAGATTGCCTGATCCACAATTAAGATGTTTAATTATTTGCTAAGACTCCTTCTGTTTTCTGCTTCTGCAAGAAGTGAAGGAATGAGTTTTTTCAACTTTAATTCTGCATTTCAATTAGGAAAACCTTATCCAAAAACAACAACAAAACTCTGGCCAATAAAACAGTTTCCAAATCTGTCCTCCTACCAAAAAATAAGTAGTAAAATTTATTTCCACACTATAATTAGAAAATGAGGAGTTTCAGAGAAATGAAAATTCTAGATAAGTATTATCTTTGTTGTTAGTTGATACTTTTCTAAATTTATTATGCACTCCCTGTCTTAACTGACTATTCATGAAGCTTGAAGGTCATATTTATAAATATCCACTAATGTATTCTAATTTTCTGGGGATTCAACCTATTTGCCCCAGATTAAATGGCCTCCAATTGCTATGCTTTCTAAACATTTTTTTCCAGTGCCCTTTCTAGGTGTCTAACCTTCAGCTGTGATTTCTTGCTGGGATCACTATATAAACTTGGGATCCTGTATTTTAATCTGATGCTCCTGATATACCATTGACTATGATCAATACAATTTACATAGAGTTCAATTAAATATAGTTGCCAGAGATGTGAGTGCCAGAAAAGCAGGTCATTAATGGAAGTGACACTAGCCTTTTTCACCATCATGATTAATGGCTGCTCTCAAGACTAGTGAAAATTCTTAATTCTAGTAAGGTTCTTAATCCACAGGGGAAAACTATGAATGCCAAGCCTTTTATGGAAAGAACTGAAATCCACCACCCTACTGTTTCCCTTATGCAGCCTAGACTTCTGATGGTCCACTTGTAAAAACTGGATTGAGCAAGTCTCTACCAATTTAGTTACACGTACTTAGAGTCAACTTTTCTTGTGATTATGCTGCTGAACTAAGGAACACCTTTCTTCATGGTGGTCTTTTCCCTTCCAAGAGCACTGTTCCCTTCACCCTTCTAAAATAATCATTGTATCTCTGACATGTATTTTATTATTGTTGTCACTAGGAGTAAGTTGTTGTATTCTGAGAACACTGAGCCAGCTGGTGGTAGGAGAATAGGCTTCAGGAATCCTCTGACCCTGATATGAGAAGCTTCTTTGAAAGGTCTCAAATGAGAAAGGTCATATCTATGAAGGTCTATTCCATGGTGCCCTTGGGAGGACAGCAAGGTACTGGGGCCTGTTTGGGCTTCGGAGAAGTGGTTTTGCAAGGAAATAAGAACAATTCACCAGCTGGGACTAGAAGAGCAGAAATGAGGCAGAGGCCCTGGGAAGCTGGGTGTATCCAGCATTTGCTCCTCCCTCCCTTCTGCCCTCCCATCTGCCACATTTCTAAGCAAAACCTCAAAGAATGTTGTAAGAATTCTAGCTCCTGTATATATTGACAAAATGAAAGCACCTTCTTATTGGGTTTTGTTCTTCCTACCCTGGGAAAGGAATAGCTGCAGGTGATGAAACCTCTTTTTTGCTGGACCCATGACTCTTGAAGCATACAGACTTTAAAAAGCAAACTGGTCATCACTAAGCAAATAAAATACAAATCCATTCATTCCGATTCTACCAGTGGCAAATATATGTTTCTTCCAAAAACAGATAGGTAGTTCTAAACAAGCAACATGAATTACATACAGCATCTTGAAAAGTTTGCAAATAAAGCCAAAACAAGTCACTTTAAAAAATTCAGAGCTTATTAAGTTAATTATTCCTAGAGACTCCTTATGCAATAATTTCCACATCCAAAAATTAGTTTTTACCAGTTAGCATCCTTTTCTATTTGTGACAGATTGTCATACATGATAGAACCATTTAGATTTCTTATTATTTCTTAGCTCTACTCCAAATAAATGTAAACTCTTAACTGCTTTACATGAATCTATCTATAGCCGATGCCAAGTAACAAAAACAACAGGTTGGTAGTGGTAAAAGTATCAATGTTTCCATCAGGTTGGCCTCCCTTGGCCACGGATCACGGCACTGCCCTTCCTCCAGTTGTCTAAGAAAGGGCTGTTTTTACTCTGTCCACAAGAGAACAGTGATGCCCTCCTTATCACTGGTGGTACTGTCAGATCAGGGAATGCAATATGAGTCCAAGATCTTTATGGGCAGTGAAGTTGCCTGCTCATTGCTGGAGATGATTAAAATGATGAAACTAAAAATATCAATCAGCGCTGCCAACACTTACTGAGCACTCACCTGCCCCAGACCCTGCAAAGCCTTTTTACATGAAACGTCCCAGTTAAGTGCAGATTTATCTGTGCCAACACCCATGCTCTTAACTGTGAAGCTAGACTTCCTTCTAGAAGTTGTGGAGAGTGTGAAGCAACGTCAGACTCTCAGAACTTAGATCCAAAGGCGTCCCAGATGCGTGGCGGCCCTTCTCAACCTCTGGTGTCTCCCAACAGCCCAATACAGTCATATCATTAAGTTATCAATCAAGCAGTCATGCAGTTATCTGGGAGTGATGGCAGCTGACTTCCGGTTGCCTGTGGCTCTCCCTGTTCACATTTCAGCCACATAGCCCTGCATTAGCTCCCTAATCACTTCTCTCTCTATGCCGTGTCCTTGCAGTTGAAGCAATACACTTGGGAAGCCTTATAGCTGCCCAGGGCTACATCTTTCCAATCTCAGACCACGTTCTTACCATGAAGGATGATGGCACCTTTTATCGTTTCCAGGTAGGCCTGCCAGATCTTCCTCCTGAAGAATGTTTTCTTTTCTTCATCATATGATCTCAGATTAGGACTACCTAAAAAACTGAGGGTATTTAAGGGAGCAACCCTTATCTCCCACCAGCACCGGGAAAATGAAGCCAACTTATCCGGGCCACTTGTTGCTCCACTTGAATAATTGTAAAATGCCCTCATGGAGAACCTACTACTGTGGGGGCATTTTACACACACATCTGATGTCTCCCCATTTATTCTGAAGAACAAATTTTGGGGTCATTAATATCTCCCATTTTACAGATGAGAAACCTAAGGTGCTCAGAGATTTAATGCGGCATTTAGTAAATCTAGGAGGCAGACTTGATCTGACTCTAGGTCAGCCTTGATTTCCATCAAAGTTCTTGATCTTTCTATTATATCAGGCTGCCTTCCTGGTGTGAAGTTCCTATTGGTTCCTACTAACCTTTCCCACCCATTTTCCATTCCTTTCCTCAGACCCTGTCCTAGAAGGAATTGGAGCAGAGGATAAGTGGTGGTGTCAAGGGCAAAACCAAAGGGTTTGGGATTGGAGCTTTTCAGACAAAGAGGACAAAGGATGTCTCAGTCTGCTTGGGCTTCTGTAACAAAATCCCATAGACTGAGTGTTTAAACAACAGAATTTATCTCTCACAGTTCTGTAGGCTGGAAGTCCAAGATCAAGGGGCCAGCAGGGCTTGGTTGTGGGGAGAGCTGTCTTCCTGGCTTTCAGACAGCCCTTTACTTCTCACTGTGGACTCACATGGTAGAGAGAGAAAGAGACTGAGCTCTCTGCTGTTGCCTCTCATAAAGATGCTAATCCTATCAGATGTGGGCCCCACCCTTATGACCTCATTTACCCTTAGTTACTTCCTTACTCCAAGTACAGCCATTCTGGGGATTAGAGCTTCAATGTATTAATTTTACAGAGCCGTAGTTCAGCCCATAGAAAAAGATTAAAGGAACTTGGAGCTTATGTACCCAGAAAACCATGCCATTCTGACTTTTATATTAGATTTCTGTTGTCCTGGGATAAAAAATTTTTGCTCTATAAACCAGCATTTCTCATTTTCATATTTATTTTCCTTACCTTGGATTTCATTTTTTAATACCTAGGTTAAAATGTTGACTAGCCTCAGGTGTATTAAGAACAGGAGGTAGTTGGGGTGTGGTGTCAGCACAAAGGAGATGGGGGCGGAGACTGTCACAGGGAGAGGTCTTCACTGGGGGTGAGAGGGCAAGTGCCAGCATGCCTGAGACCTGATACATGTGCTCTTTTGCAGGCCCCATACTTCTGGCCTTCAAACTGCTGGGAGCCTGAAAACACTGACTATGGTGAGCCGTGGAGCCAGGCCCACAGTTAGCGTTAATCTTGGGAGTGTGGACAACAAATGCTTGGTGTCTGGGTGACCAGTGCATGGGGAGAAGGGGTCTTTACTCTGCCTAGTCCTTTTTCATATAGTTGATATGTAATAAACTGCCTGTTCCACATAATGAAGAAAAGCAGAGCACACTGCAAGATGCAGCCCTTGGGGGGGAACAGAGAAAGGGGAGAAAAGCTCTCTTAAGGGTGGCTGATATGTTCATTCCATGAGGCAGTGGGGAACTAGGATGGTGACTGCTGACCACACCTTCCTGGGGTGGATTTCAGGGAGGGCTGGATCGAGGGGCCACCTCCCCCAACTCTTTCTAACTTTACAGACTTATTTATAATTCATTGGTGGCTTTGATAATCAGCAGTTAGGTGAAGAGAGACAGACCAGGGAGGGGAGTACTGAAGTTAGCCTGGGCTAGGAAAATAAAGAGTGGGTAAAGTTGTGGGCTGGGCAAGCAAGGAGTTAACTTCTATCCAGACAGAGAGCTTAGACTCTTACCATATCCTCCCCATGGAGACTTTTTAATATTGCTATGTGACAACCCTCTAAAAAAGTGTTATTCTCTCTATACTCCACATAAAGACCCTGAGGCCCAGAAAAGCCACCTCCTTACTGACTTACTGTCACCCTGTATTCTGCTTGTCTGTAAACCCAGCTGATTGTAAGCTCCATGAGGGCAGGGACTGGTCCACTTTGTTCATTCTCATAGCCCCCAGTGCACAGTGCACACCTGAGGCATAGCTGGCACTCAGTAAATATCTGCTGGTGGTTCTGGTTCTTTATTAAAGGTAATTAACAGACACTTAGTAGAGGCAGCAGAATTTGAACTCAGATCTCCAAGGCCCATTCTCCTGCCTTGGTCTGCCCCTCTGCACAGAGTCCTCATCACTGACAGCTGCTGGGGCAGTCCACGGGGCCCTCCTTGGGAGTGGGACACTCCGTGAGCCTCTCCCTAGGCTTTGTGTAGGATTGCGTGCACAGGAAGGCAGAGGCAGCTGCAGGGCACAGGAGGGAGGTGTGCAGGTGGGCGGTGTTCAGGGAAACATGTCCAGGAGAACTTGTGATGAGCTACACCCTCTGGATTACCCGGTGGAAGGAGGGGAAACCAGCAGTTAGGAGCAGAGCTGAGGATGGAATGCCAACCAGTCATTGCCTAAAAAAGCTACCATCATTCTCTTTCCAAGTCTGGAGGACAGCCCTTATGCAGAGGGCAGGGCTCTCTGATGTCGCATCAGCTCTCTGCAGGCACCACTGCAGGTCCCTCTGGAGCTGCCCCGTGCCCTCAATGATGTGATAAGCGAATCCAGCAAGGCTTCTGGCTCAGGACCATAGCTGCATTTCACTGCTCATAAAACAAGTACTTCTGGGGCTGAAATACTGCACACAAAAGCCCGGCTTGGAATTTGAATAATCGTAGCTCAGTTCCATGCTGCAGCCATGTGCCCTTGTGAATGTGAAAACAATATTCTTCCAGACAATGGAGAGGGAGGGAGGATGGCGGGGCCAGTTAACTAGGCCCAAGTAAGATTTAAATATTTACTCGACTATAAACCCATGAAGCTTAGGCCATCGTACACTGAGTACAGCAGGGCATTATTTCCCTTTCTCTTCAGGTTTTCTCCACTTCATAATTTTAGTTGTGTAGCATGAATAGTGATAAAATTAATAATTTATATCAGACACTCTTTAAAACAAAATTGTTTTGAATTCCTATGCCTCAATTTTGGCAAATCAGATGGAAAAGTCAAGGTGCAGGCTGCAAAAGTATTCATCAGCATTTCCAAAGCAGTTTAGTTAGTATTTGCCAAGAAAACTCAGCAAAGTGGCTCCAGGATCAACTGGCTGCATTAGCTGTGTGATCTTGTCAAGGGAGTTAACTTCTCACAGGTCCTCTCTGACCTTCCATCCTTCTCATTCTATTGTTTGCCTACCATTCGTCTATCGTCTCTTCTGGATAGCATGGCACATGTGTCTCAGAAACCATATTTTCAAACCAAAATAACAATAATAGTAATAGTACTTGTCTCTTAGTCAATGTTAACTCCTTACTGTATCATTACTACTAAGTGGTGGTTAATATTATTCCTACTAAGGTAAAATTTGATATTATTATTCCTTCGGTGGCCCTCTTGCTAGAAAAGATGTGAAACTGAAGCTTAAAGTTCAGAAATAGGTGGACTGAGGAAGAAGCAGAAACTTTTCATTCAACAAACTTTTACTGATTGCCTATCTGTGTCAACCTTTATGTCACAGATCTGAGTCAGTCAGTCTTGGCCTCCACAGAGCTCAGGCTGCCGGGGGGCAGCATGATGGGGGTGAGCAGAGACTGGTGAGGAGTCGGATCTGAGTATTCAAAGATTTCATGTTGATGAAGAATGATTAAAAGTTTGGGTAGCCTGCATAGTCAAGGAGAGACATTTAGAATTCAGCTGCCCTAAGAGCCACCGGCGGTCCCCAACAGTGGGGAAAGACCTGGAAAAGTTCCCTCATCTATAAAATGAGGATAATAACAGAACCCACCTCGGAGGGTTATTATGAGGATGAAGTACATGATCTCTCGGAAAGTGTCTATAATGATACATGACACTCAGGAAGCTCCATGTCAGTGGTAGCTGCTATTATAGTGATCCTCCTATACCTGCAACAGTGCCTGGCACATAAGAGGCACTAAATAAGAATTTTAATGGGTAACTGAATGAGTAAATGGGGCAGTGAATGTCGTGGTGGAAAGAGCTCTGAACTAGACCTCAATTGTCATTCCACCTCCACCACTAACTAGCGCCTGGGTAAATCACATCACCTCTCTGGGCCATTAATTTTCCCATATGTCAGTGAGCGGCTCTGAACTTGATGGTCACCAAAGTTAATTCCAGCATTAAAATATCACTCTTCTACCAAGTAATTAAGGGTATGAAGAAAATAGAGAAATTCATGTTTTACATGTTCTCTAGTTGAAGAAATTTAGGTAAACGGTGTCACTAGTAAAGATAGAAAATTTGTCAAAGGAGTCAGGTTTTTAAGTATATTGAAATAGGATAAGTTCAACATTTTTAAAAGGTCTAATTGCACATATAATATGTGAATCCATTCACTTAGTAAAACTTTTTAATGTTTTCTGTTTTTATTCTCTTTTATTTTATGGTAAGGTGTGGTGAGCTTGAGGTGGCAGTGGGTCATCCAAGCAGGTTGCCAGTGAGGTGGGCATGCCAGGTATGGGTATGAGAGCAAGGAGACAAAGATTTTTCAGTGAGAAATTATATACCCAAGAGAATCCAACATCTGAGTTAAAACAGGTCACCCAGATACCCCTGTAGGACTGACTGTTGTGGCCAGTAGGCATGTGGTTGGTTAGACATTAGAGCAAGTACTGTGAAGGCACCATGGCGGTGCGGACAAGCTGCAGGGAAGCTCTGTGCCCAGAAGAGGTCCATGCCACAGCTGTGTCCTCCCTCTCTAGTGTGATGAACAGACTCCCTAATAGGTGACATTGGCCACTGGGGAAGCAGGCTGAGAGGATGTGACCATGTGACTTGCGGTCCGTGGCAATGGTACCAGCTTTGCATTCCATACAACCTGACTGGCCCATTTTGACCCAGGTGGGTTGGAAGTTTCTCAGGATGATTTGGCCTAAATGAAGCCCATAGTTCAAATCTGGGTTACACTTTCCTGGGCTTTGTGTTTGACCAATACGAAATACTGCCTGAGGCAGCAGCTGCCACCTTCACTGGCCTGTACTGCTCCAGGGTCATTGAGACCAGGCCTCCTGGAGCCGGCAACATGCCAAGGTTCCTCTTCAGGTTGCCCCCAATTCCACAGGCTGCCTAACAGTGGTCTAAGAGACTGAAGGAGGCACCTTGTGATAGGGCAGACACCCCTTTATCAGACATAAGGAAGAGTGCATCTGCCTGGTTCACTGGAAAAGTTAATAAGTGGAGAATCCTAAAAAAAAAGTGGTACATACTTTAATCACTTCATATTAATGAAAGAAACATTCATTTGACAGCTTTTTGAGATCAGGCCAAAGATTCTCTTTGCTTATGCATTCTAATAATTTGAGTTTCTTTCTTAAATAAGCCACACTCAAAATAAACCATCCAGTTTTGGCATCTTTAAAGTGCATCAAGAATTTAAAAACACTTTGAAGCAATCTGTATGTTGACCCCTTTCAGATTTTTATTATTTTTTCCCATTTTATCTTACCTGTACCAGACTCATTAGCAATTGTCTCAGCCAACTCTCTTTAAACAAGTTGTTCCAAATCATTCAACTGGGTCTTCATAGAAACAACTCTCTTTTCACATTAACTTCATCAGTGCATGTAATATTTAGTGAACTCACATTATTAAAATTACTGGTGTGCCCTAATGGATCTGTGGCATCTTGCTGCACTGATGGACAGTGACTGCATTGGGGTATGGGTGGGGACTTGATAATATGGGTAAATGTAGTAACCATATTGCTTTTTCATATGAATCCTTCATAAAAGTCTATATCATACCTTAATTTAAAAAAATTTTTAATAATAAAATAAATAAATAAATAAATAAAAATAGAATTACTGGTGTGCCTGGCATAAGCAGATTTGAGAACAAATACAACTGGCTCTCATACATATACACCTCAACTGGTGTGAGCAGAAGTGTGGGCATACCAGACAAGGCTGCTGGCCACAGGTTTCCAGCATATCATAGGCTGCCATCAACAAATTTTTCAGACCACGTGAAGGAGGTTGGTTAATCCAGCCAAGAGCTGACTTAATCTCCTAGTGTAATTAGGTTGTCAGACAGCAGGTCAGCCCCAGGTCCTCTCTGACCTTCCCGCCTGCTCATTTTGTTGGTCACATACCATTCATCTGTTGTCTCTCCGGGATAGTTCCACACAGCACTGGGAAAAGAGGGAGATACTGAAGAGGCAGAGGTAGGCAGAAAAGGGATGAAGGCCACGTGTAAGAAAGAATGCCCTGGCGACTGAGGCTAAGAGCCCTTTCTTAGCACGTAACGAGGCCCAAACTGTCTTCCCTTTCCGCTGTCCACTCACTCCACCTGGCAGGCCAGGCCCGGGTGCAAGGTGCAGGGGTCCGAGTGTCCTCAAGTCTCTGGCCCTGAAGAGCCTCAGCCTAGAGCAGAGGGCAGCCTAGTAAACCCACAGTTACAGGGCACTGCAATTAAGTTCCATGGTTGAAGATGGTAGATGCTATCCGGAACACAGCTGAGTCTTCAGAAATTCATAGGAATCCAGATAAACAGAGGGAAAGAAGAAAGAAAAGGGAAAGGCTTTCCATGCAGGGGACACACCCAGAAAGGTGGGGAGCTGAAAGGGGTGGGTAGCCTCACATGCCTGAGGGAGGGAGGGAAAAGGCTGGCCAGATATACAGAGATTGGGTCTTAGGGAACCAAACATGCCACCCTATGAAGCCACCCTGTGACCTTTCTTCTGAGGTCACCAAGGAGTCGATGCAGGGAGTTTAGGCATGAGGGCAGGTCCTATTTGTGAAAGATCACCCTGATGGAGGAAGTCTGGGGTGAAACCAAGTGAGGAGGATGAAAGGGAGTTGTCAGAGCTGGAAGATGGGGTCCTTGTCTGATCCTAACCTGCAGAAAGAGTCCTAGAGGTCAGGTGCCATGACTTCCATATGTAAACAACGCAGTGCTGGGCACCTAGAAAGGACTGGCTGGCTGGATGAGTGGATGGACAAATGGATGGATGGATTTAGGATTGCACCACAGGGCTATTTTGTACATGTTGTAATTTCTCTTCTTCCCTCAGCCATCTACCTCTGTAAGAGGACAATGCAGAATAAAGCCAGGCTGGAATTGGCAGATTATGAAGCGGTAAGTCTGATTATTTTCCAGGATAGGTGTGGGAGGAGAGCAAAAACATACCTGCAGCTCTGTGTCAGCTTCTGTTTCTCCTTTTTTCTCTCCCTGACCCCTTTCAGACAGTGGAAAGGAGGAAATCTCTTCTGTTTCTCCTCCTTTTTCTCAGACCCTTAGCACTGCAATAAAAGTGCATCTTTATAAAGAACTCTCAAAACTCAGCAAGAAGAAAACAAACAACTCAATTTAAAAACGGGCCAAGGACTTGAACAGACACGTCACCAAACAGGACATAAGGATGACAAATAAGCACATGAAAAGATGTTCAATACCATTAGCTGTTAGGGAAAAACTGAGTAAATCCACCATGAGATACCTCTATACACCTATTTGAGTGGCTAAAATCTGAAAGTACTGATAGTGCCAAGTGGGAAGGCAGAATGGCACAACCACTGTGGAAAAGGGTTTGGCAATTTCTTATGGAATTAAACATATACTTACCTTATAACCAAGCAATCCCACACCCACATACATTCCTTAGAGAAATCATAACTTATGCCCCCACAAAACTTGTCCATAGCAGCTTTATTTGTGATAACAGAAAGCTCAGGATAACCCAAGTGCACTTTTAACAGGTAGACGGTTTAACAAAGTGTGGTACGTCCATACAATGGACTAGCATCTGCACTGAAAAGGAGCAAGCTACTGATACACACGACCATTAGATGAGCATCAAGGACATTATCTTGAGTGGAAGAAGCCAGACTCAAGATGACAAACTGCACGATTCCACTTAGGTGACATTCTTATAAATACAAAACCATTATGAGGGAAAAATAGATCAGTGGTTGCCAGAAGTTATGAGTGGAGGTAGGATGTGGCTATGAAGAGATAGCATAGGGATTTTTTGAGGGTGATGGAATACTCTATATTCTCATTCTGATGGTGGTTCCACAAATCTGATCTGTACATGTGTCAAAATTCTTTGAGCTGCACATCAAAAGGGGGGTAGGCAAATGTACAAAATTTATTTAATTTACCATATGATAATTTTTAAATCTACTATATGATAATTTTTTAATTGCATTATTATGTCCAAGTCCCTTGTACTTGGCAGTAGATGCAGAATTTAAGGACCAAATTCAGTACAGAAGATATATGTCATATGAAGTATATACTTTCCCAGCTTTCCTCTTCTTCCACCTTCTTTCACAAGATTTGAATCCTTGCAAAAATTAGAGGCCCTACCACACTCATATCCACTCCCACTGAACAGATCCAAAGCACAGAGAACTTGAAGACTCACAGATAATTTTTTTAAATATTATAAATTGTAGGTTGCAGACTCTTTCCACCAAACCAAACTTCAAGGGTCACAGAGAAACTGAGAGATTGATCATATTTTCACATACCCTCCAGAGGAGGCATTACTGAGCCATGAAATGACTGAAGGGGCAACTGCTCAGAGGAGGGACAACATTAAGGGAGTGAAGAATCCTTCCCCAGATACCCCAGCATTGACAGTACCTTCAAATGTCCCTCCCACATGGGCAGCCTCAATCTTCCAACACAAGCATGAGGCCCACTTCAGCAGGTCTTCTCATTCTTGAGTACCTGTGCTCAAGCCGACCAACCCAACGGAGACTCTGCTCCCCTCTCCACAGCCCAGGGACAATGTGCATGCCCCTGAAGAGCAGGACCAGTGCATGGCCCTCCACCCTGCTGACCCCACTGGCATCACAGGCTTGTGAATGGGGCAGAACAGTCCTGTAGGAGGTGGGGCAAGAGTGTTCCTGGCCTCGGTATCTGGCTAAAGACCAGTGGGAGCCCTTAAACATAAATATGTTGGAACATTATGAGCTTCCCAAACCAACCCTAGCATGGCCGTCCCATGGGGCTGAGATCCTGGGCACCCCGTCCTGCCCCATCTGCCCTCTTATGTGCCAGCAGTACCCCTCTTTCAGAAGACTGCTATCTTACTCCACGCACCCCATGCAAGGCACTTTAACTTCAACAGGACTACATCCCTCCCCCAACACACCCTCCAGAAAGGACCGACTGCAGAAGCATGTGGTCCCTCCATCCTGTTTCTCTTTTTCCCATATTTTCCATGTTTTAGAAAAGGTCCTAAACAGAAATAAGATGGCATCAGCTCTGATGTATTTTACTCAGTTTTCTTTGGTCTTGCCATATAATATTCTGCTTTGGTATTTGTAAAGGATATGGCATTAAGATGTTCTTTCAGGTAGAAGTTCCGTCTAAGAGTGGTTAGAAACTGAAAAAGCACTCTGTTTTCAAAATTCAGTAGTTGCATTCATTTTTCTGATGACTTATTCTCTTTGTAAAAACAAAAATCAGCAAAGACGGGAGAGAAAATAACCTGCAGTCCTTTTCCCCTAAGCTTTTTTCTGTGCATACGTTTTTTTCTTTACAAAAAAAACTTGAATTATACCACATTATTATGTAAGCTGCTTCTTTCCCCAATCATATACTCTAAGTATGTTGGGAATCTCTACATGTCAGCAATACTAATCTACATTACCATTTTTAATGGCTGCCTAGTATTCCACAGTATAACTGGGTCATAATTTATATAACTACTCTCCAGTTGACTGGCATTTAGATATTACCAGTGGGAGAATAGAAGAGACCTTTTTTTGAGGTATTTATACACCAAGCCTTGGTAACAATTGAGTTTACATGTATTGATCTTCAACTGAAGCTCTTTTATATTAATAATCCAGCAATGAGGATAATCAATTCCTGTTGGCATGAGTTCTATGAAAATACATGGCATAATGTGGGCTCTTGCCTTTGCATTCTGTCAGAATTAGGCAGATCATTAAGGGATCTGTCAAATGCCCCTCCTCATTGTCCTAAGGTGCCACAAGGTAAGTCTACAAACCTAGAGAAAAGGCTTCTCCTTTCTTCTTCTAAGAGCAACTCTGAATAACTTTTCTCTTTTCCTGTTTTGGGGCTTTCTTTTCATGAATATCACAAACGTAGACACTCCCTTGTTTCCCACTTTTGAATCCAGACCTTCAAAGGGATTAATGCCAGGTCCTCTGCATCCTCCTTTCCAGCCACCTTGCCAGCCCCCTGCTTGCTGGAAAATGAGTCCTGAGAAATCCTTTCTTGGTTTTGCTCTCTGCAATGTCCAATAGGTTGCAAAGACCTCCTTCTCCCTTCCCCAGATCCTGCATGAATAGCCACAAACCATTCTCCCTGTCTTCAGTGGCCTTTATGACAAATGCTGTGCGAGTTGTGTTCCTGTAAAACACTCAAGAAAAGAGGAATCAGTGAGCCACAGAGACTTCAGGCTTAATGGGTGTGTAAATGAATATTAATAGTTCTGTTCTGTACAGCAGGGTCTGGTGCAAAGTCAAATTGCATTCATATTCAGTGGATTTAAAGTAGGGCCCTGCTATTTTGTTGGGAGTAACCAAAATAGATGGCTGCCTTGTAGAAAGCATAGGTGGTGGTGTGCAAACTTACAATGATTAATGCCTTCTTGTTGATTTCCATTTCTCATTAGGAAAACTTAGCAAGACTCCAGAGGGCCTTTGCAAGGAAGTGGGAATTCATCTTTATGCAAGCAGAGGCACAAGTCAAGTAGGTGAACTTAACAGACACCCTTGAAAAGAGAAAAAGGCTCTCTGGAATTTGGAGGTTGTGTAAGTGGAATTACCGAAGTGGGTTCCAGTCTACAGCCAGCCAGCTGTGGTTAGATACTGTCATCTCTCATGAAGGCAACTGAGTAGAAATCAAAGTCAGGATAGATAAGTTTTATCTTTGTAACCAAGGCACACTAAGGTAATTTCAAAAGCATGTGTTCCAGGGGGCAATGGGGTTCCTTCCAAATGTAGAACTCTACTTAAAGGAAGATCTGTCCATTTCCCTAAGAGATTTCCAATTATTCTGTGCTCAGAGGTTGAACAACATCAGACCCACTTTACCTGCAGGTCTGGAGATACTGTCTTCATAGGGAAACGTACTGGAGTTTCAGGAAGCCAATAAGTAGCCCCTCCCCACAATCTCCCAGAGGAGGGGTTCAGAACCAATCAAAAGTAAGGCACACAGAAGCCTGCCATTTGGAGTCCAAAATGTCAGATTATTACTGACAATAGCTAGATCATAGGGCATGACTGTGGACCTGGGACCACAGATCTTTACCCTGGAACTAAACTCATCCATCCTGAGCAGACCTGGATATCTGTCGGATCCCCCTGCTACACCCCTGTTGCCAGGGCAGAGTTGATCCCTGTAAGTTTACTGCATGCAGAGAACAGATGTCCTGAGAACAGGCTGGCCCAGACAGGACCCCAGAACGACTGACCCGAGCTTCCTCAATGTCTTCTTTCAAATCTGCCAATAAGTAAAATCACTCTTCCTCCCCTGGAGGACAAGATGAAAGGAGAAAAGTTGGAATGTTTTTCCCTTTTTTCCCCTCCCAGGGAATATAGTGGAAATTCCTTCTTCTCTTAAGAAACATGAGAAGTGGGCAGTAAATGTCCCCCAACCCACAAACAGTTGCCAACCAGACCCTTTTAATTCTGGTAAATGGAGCTGCTCAGGTAGAGTTCTCTTAGCCTTTCCAGCGATGGTCTCTGATGCAGAAGAAAGTCTTAACAGAAGAAATTGGACAGAGGAGAGGTGGGAAAGGGATGCTGAGCTGGGGGGAGGCAGGACCCCTCCTCTGGGCCCACCTGTACCTGAGCAGACCCTCACAGTCCATGGGCAGGGTTGCAGCCCACGGCCTAGGGCTGGGCCTCACACTGTGTGGGTGGACTCTGATCACAGGTATGGTCAGAGTCAGAAAATGACATGAGACCACCGGGTCCAGGGGTGTGCACGGCGCCACTGATCACACCCTCCTTCTGCAGCTTCAGCCCCCACCCCCCACTGCTCCTGGGATGCTACACACCTGCCCACCACACTGGTGCTCCAGGCAGCTGGAGGAGCCCTGGTCCCAGAGGAAGGAGAAAGCAGGCAGGCAGGAGAGTAGGTGAGAAGGTGGCAGAATTGAGGCTATGTACTCAGAAGCCGCTGGGAAGCCAAGAGGAGTGCTAATTTGTAATTTCAGGATCACACAGCATCACACGGTATAAAAGGACAGAAATTGTCACTTTGTACATATATGGTATTTCTCGATTAACTTTTTTGATTAACTCTGTGATTGCATTATAATTGTGGGCCATTTAAGTACACAGTAATTATCACAAAAATCACGGGGTGATTATAGTTTATTTCAGTCCAGTAAACTAAAATGCTCCCAAGAGAGCCAAGAACCAGAAGCTACACGGTAATTAATCTGAGTTCCTTTTTACATAGAGAATATGAAGTAATATGGGCTTCTTTTTAAAAAGCTTCTTCTTATCTATGTTCCTCATCAGAACATAAAGCATCTGTCTTTGTCACCTGTAATTTCCCCCTCGCAGTTTGTGCCTCCCCCAGCTGAGGCCAGTGATATTTGTGTTCTGGATCACGTCACACATGAGGGCTATTACTCTGCTTTTAGAAAGCATTTAAGTGACTTTTATAACATGTAATTGCAGCATTTTGAAAGCATTTCTACTGATTGTGAATCTAAAGCAAACTTTTAAGTTTGAGGATAAAACTTTACAAGCCTATGGTTATATTCCTTCCTATAATTTAATAGGTAGAATCCCCTTTGATGGGGGACTTGTCAGTGAGTAAGTCCATTCTTAATAATGTAAATCTTAATCATTCAAACCGACAGTGCATATTTGTTCCCTCAATGTTCATTCCACATGCACAGTCATGTGCAATCTAACCTAAAATAAGTTCTCTTATCATGCATGGACTTCTTGAGGTTTCCTTATGGGAATTGTCCCCCCAGACGTTAGAGCTCTGTAGAGAGCAGGGACCACATGGTGCCAATAGCCCTTGTGTGTTAACTAACACTCCTAGAAACAGGAGCAGAGAACTGGCACAAGGGCCAAGGAGGGAAAACAGAAGACAACAGCCTCTGATTTGCTTTCTTAACTCTTTCAGGATTGATCGGAAAAAGGACAAGACAGAAAGGAAAATTCTGGATAGTCAAGAACGGGCCTTTTGGGATGTCCACAGGCCAGTGGTAAGAAAACTCTGCTTGGTTCTCCAAGTTCTTTATTTTTAATTTTCCCTCTCTTCACTTGAAAGAAAAGACTGTCTTTAGCCACCAGGTGTCTCATTCTTAAGAAAATTGCTAAGCTTTGTGAAATTGGTTTGCCATTCAGTCAGTATAATCTCAGCAGATTTTCTGGATGTCAGTTTCACCTTTTAAAAATTACCCACCCATGAAAATACAGAACTGGAAAAGGGAAGTTGTGAGAATTCCACCTGGGGACCTTTGGGCCCCAGAAGTTTACAGCCCCACACTAAGTAATTTCCATTTCGAGTCTCATTCAACTTCAAGTCTTAGAATACTCTGTCTCCAGTGCAGCTGGTTCTCATTACACACGGTCGTTCTGTTCTGTTCTGCAAAGTGGTCCCCAACGCTGAATTAGCGAATGCTGAACCATTATCCTGGGAGACAAACAGGGTGAGCCCCTGCAGCCTCCAGTCACAGTATTTTCATCAACTGATCGACACATAACCTTGTTTAAAGCGTGTTTCTGTTTAAAGTCACCTTTTTAAAATAACTGTTGATTCATTAACATTGAGTTCACAACCAACAGCACTGCAGCTCATGGGTGAGGGTAGCTTATCTACCACATCTCTTCACCTTTTTAAAATAACTGTTGATTCATTAACATTGAGTTCACAACCAACAGCACTGCAGCTCATGGGTGAGGGTAGCTTATCTACCACATCTCTCTGCTCCTCAAGGCAGATCACAACCTTCTTGCACTTAGGAACACAGCACAGCACTTCAGCACTACGCATGGGCTCCTTTTTAAACAGCAACATTACCAACAAAAAAGCATAGAAATGTGAAAAACCTGGTGCTGAGTAGACTGTGAAAAGGGCACTGGTTAATAGCAAGAGATGAAACAAGAAGACAGGGTACTGGTTGGTTCAGCCTTGCTGGGAACATGCACATCAGGCAACTCAAAATTTTTGCTGTTCTGTGCACATCCACAAAGGACCATGAATGTACCATAAGTATTGATTTGGGGGTTGCAGATAAATTCTAGCAAGAAGGCAAATAGTGGGTTTGATTGTATTTCTAATTTCATATTATTAAAACAAACCTTGCATTTTCCTCAAGAAATGTAACTAAAATGGATAAATGGTCCGCCTTCCTTAAGGCTGATTAAAAACAAAACCAAAGTAACAATTCCCCAACCTGGCCCTGGAGTGTTTCTAGATGCTTAGGTATGTGAAATAAAAAAGCTTATAGCTAAAGTGATCTTGCCATTTTGAACAAGTTTATTCTTATAAACTGCACACTACACCCTCTACACATCATCCTTAGCTAGTATGAGGTAAGCCTTTATGCTTCGTTTGAGAACTCTGTCTGGAAGAACACATGTTAACAGGAAACATCTTTGTAGAAAGAATTGTAAATGGCAAAAGGGAGATCATCACGTAATGGGAAAGATAGAGACTGGTTCTGATGGTGTCACGTGAGTCAAACTGGAAGGTGTGATTTTCACTTAGTAATTTATACGATGCTTTTTTTTTTTCTCAGCCAGGCTGTGTGAACACAACAGAAATGGATATCAGAAAATGTCGTCGCTTGAAGAACCCGCAAAAGGTTAAAAAGGTCTGCTGGTGTGGCTGAATTAAAAATCTTTGATGCAAATAGCCTTTCCATTTCTGGAAGTATTCAAACAGTAATTTGCTGTTTGTTAATCCTACCCCATTTCATCCTTTGAAACTATTTCATTCATTCATTCTACAAATATTTGTGGAGTGGCTGATGTGCCCTTGGTGCTGTTCTTGCTGCTGAAATTCAGAGGCAAGTCCTCACGAAGCCCACAGCCTGGCTGCGTGAAACCAGACAACAGGCAACAGTCGGGGCGGCTGCGCTGGGCAAGTTCAGGCGGTTTCAAGAACGCCAGGAGGGAACGCAGGCTGTGGGCTTCCCAGGGGCTCCCAGAGCAGGCCCACTGTGCTGTGGCTGTAGGCAGGAGGCTGGCAGGAAAGGAAACTAAAAGAACAAAAAGTATCAAAACCCCACAGGTGAAGACAAGCTTGGAACTTTGAAAGTCTTTTCCAGTACAGCTCAATGGATATAGCCCAGCCTCCGATCACCATCTTGCCCACCCATGAATCGTGCTTCATTGTCCTGGAAGTGGCAGTGGCCATGGCAAACCCAAGGGCGCCACTCAGTCTGCCCCACAGTGGGTATGTCCCACCCGCACATCGGTGCCCAGGACATAGCATAGGAGAACATGTCATATTCAGTAGTATTAGCTTCTCAGATCTACTTATATATTTTATTCTTCACTGAGATAATGATGCCCACGTGTTTTACTTTATCATGTTAGTCTTAAAAATATCTTCATTTAATATTTAAAGGCCCCCTAATTCATCCAGAATTTCATGAAGCCCATATCGACCCTATCTGAGCCCTTCTTGATTTTACAGACTTCACCTATTACACTGCATACCCTCCAGGGTTTTGTTTCTTTTTCAAAGCAATTATCTTTAATCTGTCTCTAACACAAGCAACAGCTTAAAAAGCAGCCATAGCTGTGGGCATGTGGAGAAACTGAGGCCAGGAAACTAGCTTACAAGGAAAAATTCTGAACCCCTGCCATCGCAGTATTGTACCAGATGGGCATGTCGTCTGCTGACCAACAGAAAATCTAAAGGGGATCCTTTGTACTTAATCTTCAGCCCTTGTTCACCCCAGAATCCCCTAGGGCATTTGATAGAAGTGCAGATTCCCAAACCCCACTCACAAAGATTCTGATTCAGTAGGTCTGGGGTGGCGCTCAGCAATGTGCCTCCTCTCCAACGCCTGGCTGATCCCCTGCAGGTGGCCAATGGACTGTGTTTGGAGAGACACATACAAGGAGACTGTTTCAGCTTAGTAAAAGGGAGGATTTTCTAACAGTGGGAACCCAAAGATGGAAGGAGGTACCTCCAGAGGCAGAGTTCCGATCATTGGGAAAATTCAAGCAGAGGCTGGTCGCTTAATGTAGGGATGTCACAGAGGGGATTGGGGGCAACGGATGGGCACTTGAACTACCTGGCCCCTAAGGCCCCCTTCAGCTCTGAGGGTGTGTGATTGTATGTTCTTGCTTCCTCTCTAGTCAGTGTATGGCGTGACTGAAGAGTCCCAGTCGCAAAGTCCTGTGCACGTACCCAGTCAGCCAATCAGGAAAACCATAAAAGAGGACATCCGGAAACAGGTGAATGAATTGACTGCTGCACTCACAGGGATGTGGCCAGTGTGGAAACGCTTTGAATATTCACCTCTGAAGGTTGAGTGTGCTTTGAGGTCCTCCAAACCAGAGTGGAACCCAGCTGTGGATGACTGGAACTTTTGAGTCTGTGTGAATGGCCCATGGAAGCTTGAGAGGAAAAATTCTGGAGTTCCCCCAGCGGTTATTAGAGAGGGACATAAATGAGTTATCCCAGTGCCGGGGGGGAGGGAACGCTGCAGTGGGGTTTTCCTGGGAGCTACAGGAGGGGACGGACTGACATCCTAGGGTCCTTAAAGTTGGAACGCACTTCCAGAGTAAGCCAGCTCAGGATCACCAACGTTGTTGCCGTGATTCAAAAGGAGAGTTTACAAATAAAGAAAGCCATTTCAGCATTGCTTAATGAATTACTAAATAAATTATTACATTTCAGCATTATTTAGTTAATGCCATTTCAGCCTTATTAGGTCCAAAATTATCTTCCTTCATGAAGAGGAGTTAATTGGTCAACTCAGGTCAGCAGACTGTGGCTAATTACATTCTCCTGTCTGGGGTTTACTGGTAATGAAGTAACTTTAGGGTCTACTCTTTACATTATGGTTTCCTGGTACCTGGGGGTGAGGGGCACTGAAAGGAGGTGTTTGGATCTTGGTGGGAATACAGGATTTGGATTGCTGGGTGAAGGGGAAATTTTTTTTTAGTTTTTGGAAATTATTTTAGGTCTTAACACTGCTGTTCTGTCTTTCCCCAGATAACATTCTTGAATGCACAGATTGACAGACACTGTTTAAAAATGTCCAAAGTGGCTGAAAGGTATGTTTCTCCTCAATAACAGTACTGCTTTCTTCTAATTTAACAAAGAGAAATGTTATGGGGTTATAGCTAACAAGTGGGGACCATGCCAAGAGGCAGACCATAGTCATTTCTTAAACGGATGGGTGGAAAAACCACAGGCCCCCTGTGAGTACAGCTAAGATAGCAGCCCTCCCTTGAGTGATGACAAGAAATGTTCTGTTGCTAAAGCTTTTCACAGGGTGGCCATGGGACCTTGTCAATCAAGGAAGAATGTCCTTAAAAGCTACAGAATGCACTTTTGCCTTCAGCCTCTTGATTAATTCAGATGGAATTGCTCCCTTTTCGGCTATAAAACGCCCAGATTCACTTTATGGGGAGAAAAGAAATTATGTGTGTCCTTTGAGGGGTGGCCCATGCAAATAGGTGGGGACAGGGCCATTGGAGGCGTTCCACCTCCACACACCATCAACCACGGGACTACATCACATCAGCTGTAAAGGAACTATTTGGCACCTCCAGCCTGGCTTCTACTGGAGCGTGTGTGTACAATCTGCACCAGGGGCTGGCTCCACTCCAACTCCTTTAACTCGTGGGAGACTCAATTTTGTCACCTAAATGGTCTGTTTGGGGAACTCTCAGGGAAGAGGGGAGGCCGCCTAGGGAATCTGCATGGAATAAATCTGATCAGGCAGACCCCAAATGGAATGTTTATTCATCCATATGCCACTATTAAACAAATGACCAATATCTGAAGGATCGAGGGCTTATTCCGGGTCTTAGGGTTTATTGGAGATCAGAGTAAAGTGGGTCCTGTAAGCCCAGCTCACACAGGGGGTTGGCTGTGTGTTCAACCTGTGAGCCTTTCCCTGCTGGCCCCTGGATTGATCCACATTTTCCTTCTAAATAAATAACTACACATTGAGGCTAAGAAAATCTCACTCCCCATTCCAAAACCTGAATTAACCTCTGCCTGCAAGGGGCCAAGGACATTCCTGGATTTGGGCTTACGTCTCTGATAGCATCTGGTGTCTATTCCAGAACTTCTCAGTAGCACACTGCTGACATCCTGGCCCCAATACTTCCTTGTTCTGGGAGGCTGTGCTGTGCATGACAGGGTATTAGCAGCGCCCCAACCTCAACCTACTAGATGCCCCCATCTCACAGTTGTGAAGACCAAAAAATGTCTCCTGACATGGCCAAATGTCCCCTAGGATGGGGCAAAATCTACCCACTGTGAATCCCTGACATTCCTGTTTTGCCTAACACAAATGCTTCAGCAGGTGGCAGTATCTGGAGCTTTTACACGTAGGCACCAGTTGTTCTGAGTGGCAGTCTCAGATGACTCTGCAGGCTATCACAGGGTGGTGCTTCCGGAATACTAGCCTCCAAAATTGCCTACCAGGCCCCACTGTGGTTGCTTTCGCCCCAGAAGAGTGCCCATGCGTGAAGCAGCTGGGATGACCTCAGCTCCATCCGTGCCACAGGCTGTGGGCACCTCTGAGCATCTTCTTCTGTGAAAGGGGTGGGGAATGGCTGGCCTGGTTAACTGTGGGGTCAGTGTCTGGCCTTCAAAGGGCACCTGAGAGTTTGCAATCCTGGGAGAGCCTGTGTGGGGGAGCATCTCTCCTTGGGTCTAGTAGTTCAGCCGGGCCGTTTTGAGCATGGTAATATGGGTAGGGGTGGGGGGCCAAGAATGGAGATTCCCAAACCCCAGCTCTTGAGACTGGGACCTAGTGGTTCCAGGTGGATCCTCAGAGCCTGCATTTTAAATAACCTGCAAGTGAACTGAGCAGGTCTCAGGATTTGGGGAAGCCATTGTCCAGCACTCAGCCTGACCTGAGAGCTCACATCAGAAGGGACACCCAGCTTTGTTCTCCCTTTGGTAGGAGGGGAAAGAGCCTGAACTAGGCAGCCTGAGGGAAGCAGACACTGACACCGGGTGGGTGTGCTGAGCCAGGGAGGAGGAGGGGAGCCTAGTAGGGCCTATTGTTTGTTTGTCTACATGCTGTCAGGGAGGGGCCCACCTGGTCCCCTCTAATTATGCTGGAGAGGCTGCTCCTATAGAAGAGATTATTCCAACCAGCACTCCTCACTCCGCCCAGCAGACTGGATTTTATTCCCAGCAGCAATAACTGGCAACTTCTCAATATGACACAAGGGTTTTTCATTAGCCACCAGGAAACTCCCAGATAGAGAAGCCGAGGGAGAGGAGCGGGTGTTAGGGGGAGATAAAGCAGCCTGGAGCCTTGGTCTGTCAGCAGCTCTGCAACGGAGGGGACAGGGAGGTGGCACTGGCAGCTGGCCCTGGGTGCAACTGCTCTGCTCACCAGAGGTGACAGCTGAGCTCCCAGGTGGGTGCACCCAGCCCCATGCCAGATCCGGTTTCCCTGGATGATGACTGTAATTCCCGGGTGATGGTGGTAATTAGCCAGAAGCCATCAGCAAAGGATCTCAGCCCCTGAGAGCAGGTCCACATCACTTTCCTGATGTGGCACTGATGGGAAGACTCAAGAGGGCTGACAATTGTGAAAGTCCAGCTCTGAAAAGGCAAGAGTGAGATTTGGGTCAAAGGATGCAGCCAGACCCAGCTGGGATGAGTAAGGAAACCTTGTGAACTCAGTGGGCAGAACAGGACACTTCAGGGAGGGGTGTGGAGCCAGCCAGCAGTCAGGGTTTGGACCCTGCCTCTGCCATTTTCTAACTGTGAGCTGGGGGAAGTTGCGTCCTGTCTCTGTGCCTCTGTTCCACCTCTTTAAAAGGGGGAGAGCGGGAGAACTCGGTAGAATCAGTTACAGGTAAACAATTTCATCCACCGTATGGGCTTGGTTCAGTCCTTGGCACTTACTACACGCAGAGTGACTGGAAACAAGTATTACTTGCCAGGGTGTTGCTGCCTGGTGCTTGGGAAAGGAGCAGCATTCAAGTGCAAGGAACAAAAAGAACTGGTTGTTGGGTGTTCAGGGGAACAAAGGGCAAGCCAAGGAGTGATGTCAAACGCCCAAGTTCCTTAGCCTTGATCCTGCCATCCTGCAGAGGGTAGCCTGGGAGTAATGCAATTCTTCCCACCCTCTCTGCTGCAGTCTGCGGCCTGTGTGTCTCCTCTTGGCTGCCTCCTAGGGCATCCAGGTCTGGTGCCTTTGAGGAAAGAGGGGCTGTATGTGCAGAGGATGGCTCTTCTGCACACATTTTCTCAGGTCATCCTGGTTTCAATCATTCTGTTCCATTGTCCCCATGAGCAGTTAAATGTCCCTGAAATGCCAACATCATGGCAACCAAATTACATTTCCTAGGCTGCCTTTTGCACCTGAAAGCAGTACACAAGCTTGTCTGAGATGTTGCCCAATTTTTGCTTCAGAAAATGTGGTCCCTGCACACATAAATGAATTTTCCAGATAAATAACATTTAACACACCTTAAGCTTTTTATTTTAACTATTTTAAATGAGAATCTTTCTTAAATATGGTTCATGCACCTGCCTTCTTAGAGAAAGGACACTACATTCCAGCTGATACTTCTGGGTGACTTTCATACAGTATACACATATATATATTTTGCTTTAAACCTGTCAGTGATCAGGGTCTTCTGAAAGTGCCACAAACTGCTTTCCTTTATCTAAATGGCCCCAGACCCTTATGCTCTTTGAGTCTCTGTTTCTGCTTTTCAGTTGTTGGCTTGTTTTTTTTGTTTGTTTCCTGCTCAACATACTTGTCTCCAGCGGCCCCTTCTCCCCTCTAACCAACCCCCAGTTCCCATCTGTAGCAGACCAGGTCTGTCGGTTAGGTGTTGCTGAGCAGCTTAGTGGCTTCAAACATCGGGCATTTACTGCTGTTCACATGGCCCTGTGCGCACTGGCCCTGGTGGGCTCACCTCACATCCGTGTGCAGCTGTGGGCTGTGATCTCAGCTAGCTGTCTCACATTTGGCTTCAGCTGGTTTAGGATGACCTCCACTGGGACACTGGGTCTCTGTCACATGGCCTCTCAACCTTGCAGGCTGGTTTGACTGTTCACATGGGGAAAGTGGGATTCCAAGAGAGAGAACAGAAACCTGCAGAGCCTCTTGAGGTTTGGAACTAGCATTCTGTCATCACTTCTGCTGCATTTTATTGGCTAAAGCATGTCCCAAGCCCAGACCAGATTCCAGGGCTGGGAAATAGACTTCATTTTTTTGGAAATTAGTCATGCCACACCAGGGTATCAAATAACCAAGTTCCTTAGCCTTGATCCTAAAGCAAGAGTAAAGAGTCTTCTCCGAGAGGTGTACTCTCCCAATAACAGACAATGAACCTTAAAAAGGCAGGGGGTTTTTTCATTGTAGACTCTGCTCAGAGGACCCTTTGCCCCTTATCTCACGTATGTTCCCTCAATAACTGAAGTTGCCAAATCAATGAGGTCTTAACTCTTGTGAGAATCCCCAAGGGAGCCTCTTCTTTATTCACCCAAGCCTTACAGTACTTGACAAACCAACTCTCAGAATGCAAAACTCCACATATGTTACATCCACTGTCTGGGAAGTCCCTGTGTAGTGCTGGTTTCCCTGGAGACTTCTCCCGACCCATAGGCACTGAGCTGTGCCCAGTAGCTGCAGGAATCGCAGCACGCTGCCCTGCCATGAGAGAGTGAGTTGTATCATTTTGTGTCTGCTCACGTACGTGGCTTGTCCTTACCCTATCCCAGGGAGCTATTGTGCATCGCTGCTAACTGCTGCACTGATTTGTTGCCATCACCTTTCTTGCCCATCTCCAAATCACTCCTGCTTCTCCCTGAAATTGGATGTTGGTTCCTCTTCTGCCTCCTGACCCTCCATGATCATGAAATGTAATTAATGAAGTAAGACCATCAAGAACTCAATACCCTAAAGGTCTATTGAAAACCTGCTAGAGTGATGGAAGTCCATGAATTTGAAGTCTAATGATAGAACATTAGATCATTTCCTTTACTGGGAGAGGAAAAAAGGGGGTCAAAAAGGTCATTACAACTTTACTTTTATAAGATTCTGGTCACCGTGGGGTTCTTGCTT